CCTATGGGGATTATAGATGGCTTCCTGGAGAGATAATCTTCAAAATAAGTCTTTTTAAATGAGTAAATGTCAACCAGTTACACTGGGAGAGTGGTCGGGAGGCATTTCAGGCACATGGGTCAGCAGTTGCAAGGGCACAAAGAACAGAAAGCACAGGAACTACAAAGAGAGCTGGGATTGGAACCAAGGCCTGTCTGGTTCCAAAGCCTGAGTAGTCCCTCATGCCAGGGTGCTTCAGACATTGCTCTGTACTAGTGCCTTCAGGGGTTGCACTAAGTTTTCATTCCATTTCATTAGACAGGTAGATAATAGACAGATGTTTGAAGATAGATATCAAATTATTTTTATAATATATAATTTATAATTGTAATATGTATATATTATATAAGTATAAATATAATTATTTATATAAATTATTTTATTGTGTATGCATACATGTTATATAAATTATTTTTTAGAGAAATAAAAATCCCTAGTCTCTCAAATAACACATCACAGGCTAACAATGCATAAATGTATCATCAGATTACTTTTTTCTGCATAGACCTTGGAATAAGTCTTTTTCTGCTATCCTTTTGCATAACTGTAATTGGGAAATTTGCTAAAAAAGAGGATGCTGTAATTCTGCACTAGCTTTTTTTTTCTTTAAGCCAATATGTGTTATCAGCCTATGTCAACTTCTCTGTATGCAGTACCTTAGCACCAACAATAAAATGACATGGAATAATACAAATAATGTATATTCACTCAGCGTTTTTCACTGAATGTATATTCACTGAGTGCAAGGCCCCATGCTAGGTAGTATCTTTTATCTAATAATCAATAATCTACTGAGTTATGTAATATTGTTGTCCTTATTTTGTAGGTAAGTAACTAAGTTTTAGAATTTTAAGTAACATTGTCCAAATAACAGCTGGTAAATATTGGAGCCAGAATTTAAACCCATGGCATCTGGCTCCCAAGCTTGCCTTCCTCACCATAGATCATGATCTTGACATAAGGCCTGTGTATCCACATTGTTTAAAAGCTCCCCAGGAATAGCCAGAGTTGAGAGACACTACTTTACCACATCACATTTTGAAAACATTGACCAATAAACAAATTTTAGAGTTTATCATATCAATTATTGCTTATCTAACTTGTACTTTATTAAGAGGATGCTTGCCATCAATAAATCAGTGCGAGCGGATTAACACTAAGCTCCTGTGTCACTTTAATTTGTAAATAAGTTAAGAACTCCTTTTTTAAAAAAGATGCACTTTAAGCAGCTTTATTTCAGTAAATTACACTTAATTCTAATTAGAAATATGTATCATGGACTTACATAAGGTTTAAACTGATGTTTTTGAACCATTTATTTAAGGCTGGTTTTAGCAGGTTTTCATATACACATTTAACATCAGAATTTCAGGAAAGTAGATAAAAGATTCACTGTAAGCTGCTTCATTTTAAGGAATTCAATGTAATTCTAAATTAAGAAGACCTTTTTAATCTGTGTGAGTCAATGATGTCTTCCTCCTATAAAAAAATCAAAGACAGAAATGAATCAGATGCAGGGGTTGATGTGACTAACAACAGAACCAGCCTTGATGGAACGATCTAGTTGGAATGTTAGAGCAGCATAAATTCAATGGAGCTTAGAGGCTTAGGAAAGGGGTTTTATGAGGGGGGAGGGTGTGGAAAAGAAGGTGAGGACCTGTCAAAGTCAAATTCACTTTCTCTGAATATTTTTTACAGCTGACCGTATATTCAATGAGCTATGTTGAAACACTTTGAAAAATGCATATGTATCTCATCTTTTTTAAGAAGAAGCAAGACAAAACCAAAATAAACATGCAAAAAAGAAAATCTCAGTATGATTCTCACATCATCTAGATTCTTTGAGTGGATATCTCAACTACTGAATAGCTATTTTATTGGTACATTTTATTGTCTGCTAAATTTAAAAACATAAATCATTCTTTATGTATTTTTGCACATTTAATGTTCAAGCTCTTGATGACAATGTACAACTAAACAGAAACTGTGGCTCACCAGAATCCACAATGGATTGGAGTTTATCTGGTTTGCCCTACTTTTTTGGTAAATATCTGCAACTCTCCAAAGATTGGATTATTGACTTTAAGAACCAAGTTTAAAATTGGGATGGAACTTCCAGTTCACTCTTAAGATGGCATTATTATTATCATTAATGAATAAGTTCCAACGAAGTTCCTTGCTAATACATTTTTTGATCTGATCCTGAGTGGACATTTATATAAATATTTCTCTTTGACAGTAGAGTGGAAAACGAGGCTGTTCTGATTGGAAACTGTTTTGCCTCAAAGAAGGAGTTTCATGTTGTTGGAATTGCTTTCCCGCTGTTTACCATAATCTTGTCTATCAAGTTAAGTCCTTCCTGTGGATGCAAGCAAAAACCGTTTTCAGAGGGAACTCAGCAGAAGGCTATCTGGGGCTCATGAAACTCATGAGATGTTGAATAACTCAGTTGAGACATGGACAAGCAGGTAGGCAGTTCCAGGAAGCAAGAACGCCGCCGACAGTACCATCAGCAGTCTGGTCATGATCTTCCACATGCGTGGCATGGAAACCCATGTGTTTTCATTGTTTTGTGCTAATGATTCTGCTAAAGATCACACTGTCTTTTCCCCATTGCTAAGGATTCAAGTTCTAGAGAAAGAACTAAAAATTTTTGCTTGAGTTATCCCCTCTTCTGTTTAGTTGAAGAAGCAGGGGCTAGTCGCTTTCATGTAGTTCCAAGAGACTAAATCTAGTTGGAATCAGAAAATTCTCAAAGCTAATCGGATTTCAAGTGGAAATGGACTCTAGATGAATGAAAAACAAAAATATCTCAGCATAAAGAAGTGGAAGCTAAGTAAATCTGGGAATATAGAAAGACAATGCAAACCTTTCTTTCTGTTTTGCTGAGAGGTTTGGTTATATCTTATTATGAATATTAAAAACAAAGCCTACAAAGAAAGAAAGGTTGTAAGTGCTTTAGTACTGAATGAAAAATGTAGAATTATTTGAGTCATGAACTTGTCCCGAGAAGAATGCGGAATCAGTATTAAAGCCTGAATAGTAATTTAAGGTAAATGTAAGGCAAGGAAGACTCTTACTACTATTATCAATTTTGTTCTAGAAATTCTGACTCGTCTAGTAAGGAATGTAAATAAGAATCATAGCTATTGGAAAGAAGATAAAACTTAGCATTGTTTGAGGATAACATGATTACGTATAATGGAAACCCAAACGAGTCAACTGAAAAGCTAATATAAACTCTATTGTTCACCAGCAAAAATGGTTATATAGAAAATATAATGATTTAAACAAAGATTTATTCACAACAGGCAATATACACACACACAGAAAAAAAGTATAAAACCTCTAGGAATGTGTGGGAGCAATGAAGAAAACCACAGAAACTTGCTGTAAAGTATAGAACACTCTGCACATGCTTTTGTTCGCTCTTTAAAATTTGACAAACTGGTCCCACAGGTGAAAAAAGTCAAGGTAATTTTTGAAACTAAGAGTGATCAGGGGCAACTTGTCTGACCATATACTATATTAAAAGGTAACCCATAATGTTTTTAGAATGTGCTAGACTAAAAATCTAGCCAGATCAATGACACAAAATATATAGTCCTGAAACAGACGATAATGATGGAAGGATTTAATGTATCATCAGATTTGTGAACAGAAATTTATATGCAGGAGTGTGCATTTTAGTTTCATTTAAAATCAGCTGCCTTACCCTAACTTACTCACGGACATAAGTCACTATTATTTAATAAATACAAAACCCTGGTGATACTCAACCTGCAACAGACTGCATGAAGTCTATGTGAAAAACAGCTCAACTGCAGATCAACGCTTACAACTTAGAATGTTTGCTCACTTCCTAGTAGGGTATCTTATTAGGAACCACTATTTTTCCTCTTTTTTGTTTTTATATAGGCACTGTATGTCTATTCTGATTATACTGTGTTATCGCTCATGTTTAACTGCTTTGGTAGATGACTGCCTCTCTTTCTATGTACCGTGGAGCCCAGCAAAGTGAGTTTGTTTTGTTCCAGATAGCCTATATTTTGAGACCTTCCATGCAAGGTATAACCTTAAAATATGGTAAAATCTTTCCAGATATTTTCATAGCTTCAGTAGCAGGTAACAGGCAGACATTTTATTTAATTTCTATTATTAAAAAAATAATTAAAAACAACTGAAGTGGTTGACAATAAGGAAATGGTTTTAAAAATCTTTGTATATCCATACAAAATGATATCATACGGCCACTATAAAATGATATTTTTAAGAATTTTAAATGATGTAATTCTTCTCAGGAAGTGAGCTATCAGTGACATTTTCTAGTTTTCATTGTTTTATATAATATTTTATTTTTATATGTTCTTTTATATATTTTCCAAATTTCTTACAAGTATGAGAATCAGAAAAACCTATTTTAAAAAGATGAAGATCAAGATATTTAAGGATTGGAATATATATAAATGAGGAGGCAAATAGCAAGTTATGTGTAAACAATTATTTTGTAATGACATTTAATGTGTACTTTTAGTTGATTCTACAAAAATACGTAATACGCATATGACAAAATCATGTATACATATATGACAAAGAAATATACATACATATACAAAGTCATTCTAGTTTGCATCCCCAAATGCAGCCCTATAGTTTTCACCACTGAGCAGATGAGTTACATACCACTGTCAACTCACAGCAATTCATCTAAAGACAAAAAAAATTATTTAAAATGTAGGCTCTTAAATGTTGGATATGCAAAACTTCAATGTGTATAGTAAAAATAGCAAAGATCACACCTACTATGACAAATAAAAAATGAGATATAAATATCATAATTTAGCTCACCATACATACTTTGACTCAAATAATTGATAAAAGATACATGTTGGTGCATGTGGTTGATTATGTACATTCATGAATATGATCACCATTTTGCAAAATAGTAATACATAATAACTCTATGTATTTGATTCTAAAAACAATATACAGCTAGATGCATCTTTTTGGAAAATTTTACTAAATAGGATCATCTTCAGTGCTCTTCTGAACCACGGATAGAAAAATGCATAAACCATTGGATTAAAAGTCAAGTTCAAGTAGCCAAACCAAATCAATACATCATTCAAGGTGGATGGAATACTGTAGTCCAGGAAAGGATCCATGACTGTACAGACAAAGAAAGGGCACCAGCATATCAGGAAAACTCCCATCACAATTCCTAATGTCTTTGCAGCTTTCCTTTCTTTGTTTTGTGAAATTCCATTTTTCTCTTCCAATCACATTTGAAGCTTCTGATTTGCATTATTAATTGATCTTGCCTGTCCTTTAGCTATAATGTATATTCTATAGTAGACACACAACATAATAGATCCAGGTATATAGAAAGAAATCATAAAGGCCAGTACCCCAGATATTTTGCTAAAGAAGACAGAGCAACCCCCTATGCATTGAATGTGTTGATGATATGTATCTTCAACTCCTTTGAAGTTTAGCTCCAGAAAGATCATTCCAAATGCAAAAATAGCAGGGACACTCCAACTAATGAAGATCATCACAAAAATAACCAAGATATTGATCCTGGCTTTGTATCTCAATGGATTACATACAACATAGTAGCGATCAATAGAAATGAAGGAGAAGTGGAAAATGGATGCTGAGCTCAGCATAATATCAGTGCTGGTGTGAAATTTACAGAAGACTTCTCCAAAATACCAACAGTGCTCCACAGATCTCACCATGCTATAAGGCATGACCAGGCACCCCAGCAGAAAGTCCACAGTGGCCATGGCATGAATGAGCCAATTAATTGGGCTATGAAGTTGCTTGAAGTGTGATATGGAAATGATAACTATCAGATTGCCAACCAGTGTGGTCAGAACTATGAGCACCATTAAACTGTCCAGGGAAGCACGGATGTCATTCGACCAGCTACTTTTCACATAGGAAATATTAATTATATCGTGGCAAAAGGGCATCATTCCTGAGGCCTTGCCACCAGTTTAGTTTTGCCTTTGACTGTTGAGTAATCTTTCTTCCAAATCCATAATCAGGTTGGAGTTCCTTCTCCTTTATTTCTTATTTGCACATACCTATCCCAGAAACCTAGGAAGAAAAAGAAAAAAAAAAAGAGTAAATCATCAGCAATTTGATTATTTTCACTTCTAACACATTTACCCATTACTTCTTGTTGAAGAATAATTATTTTGGAAGAAGCTTTATTTCCAAATTTAGTTCAGTAGCCCAGTTTAACAGATTTTTTTTTTAACTTCTACTTGGAGCTGCACATTGTGCTAGAAATACACAGCTGAATCATTAAGCTGAACTATATAAAACTGCCACATTTGTAGATCAGAGAAGGCCAAACGCTGACTATTTTCCTATGCTTTAATCTATGGAAACTGTCTTTGTCTGTAGGAAGCCAGAGTCTACTGGGGGAGGCTTATAAAGGGTAGATATAAATTGTCAGAAAATTTAGAATCAAAATACGTTAGTGAAAAAAATGTTTAAATGTGCCTCTTTTACAGAATTAATACCCACTAGTGCCTGCTTTTGCGCTTGGTCATATATATGATATTTTATAATTGTTTATAATAAAAAGATTACATACCTTTATTCCAGTTTGAAAAGCACTTGTACGTATATTCCATGCATTATTTTAATTACCATTTTATTTGATATCTATAGTATCAACATTATTCCTTGTAAAGGAAGACATGACATTTTACTGGCAAGAAATGGAGGCTTAATTCATAAAACCATTAAAGATGGAATGTGATCTGAGTTCTTAATCATTAGTTATTTCTTTTTTAGTTCAGTTTTTTTTTTGTACTGCAGAAAGAATTAATTTAAGATAAATGAAAGAACTTGAGCTTTGAATTTTTACATAAGAATTTATTATACCTTAAATAATAGCACCTACTAGTGAAGTATAATATTGTGGACCCACTTATTAAGGCTTTCTAACATGCAGACCAGAGTCAATGGTAATAAGTCATGCTGCACAGAGAAAAGAGCACTGAGATGAGAACCCAGGGAACCTGAGAATTTCCAATTTATAAAATATGTAAAAGAAAAATCTTGTTAAAATAGACATGGCACCTTCAACTAGGCCTTCTCTTCTGGTACTTCACTGAAGAATCCAAAAACTCCTCAGGACTCAATTTGAAAATGTCCTTTTTTTTCTATAGAATTCTGTAATTCTAAGCTAAATTTTCATATATATATATGGTGAGAAAGAGAAAGAGCTTGGGGAAGAGTGTAAATATCTGGCAATCAATGAAGCCCTACAATCTATCACTATGTTGTGAAAATGCTAGAAAACATCAACAATTCTTAGAATTCCAGGGTCTGCCTTCCTTTTCATCTCTTCCCCTTCCCTCTGGGCTGATGGCTTAGATCAAGAAATCTGAATTTACCGAAGCAAGAATTGAAGGAATACAATATATAGGTACTAAAACGCGTATTTTAATAAATTTGAAATACTTCTCCAATCCTCTTCTGTCTTCTCTTCCTGGGAAGAAACATATTTACATCAAATAAATCTGTAAGATTTATTTAAATAGACATGTAGGCTCATTCCATCACAGAACAAACAACAAACTAAAACTATTAGGTTATTTGAACTAAGCAGTATTTGAATTATATTTAAAATTTCACTGTAAGAATGATGGACTTTTTCTTACTATGAAATTTGAGTGTGCATGAATTCCATCAGTTAAGTTATAAATCTTCTTAGACTTCCCCCCCCCGCTATTGCCCCCCTTTTCCTTCTTTCTTTCACTTATACTGTTGACATATTAAAGGAACCATGAAACACCCCATCAGCCACTTTGATAGAAATAATCTGCTTGCCCAGCTTAAAGAATACTAAACACCATTGTTTGTATGAGTATTTTTCAAAGTGTTATAATTTGTTCTTAAATAGATTTACTTGTTTAAATAAATACCCTATGATGACATTGAGTTGAAAGCTTATCTAAAGATTTGGGAAAATGGTATTTTTGTTTCTTTACATTCAGCTTTAAGAATTCACTAACTAAAAATGATTATTACCTGTACAAATTATGCGGATTGAATATACAATAGTAATATGGAAAGTTAATAAATCTCAATTTGATTACTTAGCTAAGCAAACAGTTCTGTGCAAATGATCTAATCATCTAATGTCTGAAAATGACATATGAATTAAAAATATATTGGTAGGAGTTATAGCTTAAAGTAGATCTGCCTAGCAGGGCAGGCGCTCATTGGTAGAGGGTCCCAACTTTTCAACAGAAGGCCATCAGCAGTGATCCCATCATGCCCTCTGTCCCTGGTTCCATCAACCCCCCATCCCTAACTGCTCAGATTCTCATCCCCAGACTGTATACATCTCCTAATCTAAATTTGCCTCCTGTATTAGTCAGTTTGTGTTGCTATAACAGAATTACCTGGGACTGGGTAGTTTATAAAGAACAGAGGTTTATTTGGCTTACGATTCTGGGACAGCTGCATCTGGCACGGGCCTCAGGCTGCTTCTACTCATGGCGGAAAGTGGCAGGGAGCCAGTGGGTACAAGCAGATCACATGGTGAGAGGAGGCAAGAGAGAGAGAGAGGAGGTGCCAGGGTCCTATATACAACAAGCTCTCTTGGGAACTAATAGACCTAGAACTCACTCACTCCCCCTCCCCCCAGGGAGAGCATTAATCCATTCATGAGGGATCCGCCCCCATGACTCAATCAGTTTCCAACACTGCCACATTGGGGATCAGATTTCCATGTGAGTTTTGGAGGGGACAACACATCCAAACTCCATCACCTCCGACTCTCCTATTACTCCCCAACTCTTCCAAATGTGCCCTCTGAAACTCATGGTCGTCATTCTACTTCTGCAAATTCTTTTCTAAATGTGCCCCTCTCTTTGTTGTAACTAAAATTGTCTCCCATCAGGATATGTCCTTCCCTGCAGCCTGTCTATGGTGGCTGTTTTCTCTCCTACATCTCTGTACCCCTTCATCCTATATGAGCTGAAGAAAGGGTAAGTGTCCTCTTGCACTCATTGCCATTAAAAATCATTGTCTCTCCTTCCTCCTAAACTCCAACCCCTTGCAAGCTGCAAAGCTCACTGTTCAATCTACCCCTCCTCCCGCTGCAGACATCTACAGACACCCAAGTCATCTCTCTGTATTTCGTGAAGATGTTAGCTTCTGGCTTACTGTCACTCTCTCCATGCTACTTCTGCCAAAAGTCTTAGTAATTTTATTGTCCGACTAAATGATCCTTCTGGTAACAAACATTCAGTTCATCGATCCCTGTCTTCCAACAAGCGTGTCATTCCCTCCTTCTTATCTCACACTTCCATGGTGATATCCCAGGACATCATTATCAATAACAAGGTCCTTCGAAATGACTAGTTCCACACATCCTGTCTTCCCAGCCCATTGCCGCTAGTGTTCCTTTTGCAACAATTTTTCAGTCCCTATGAAGCCCTCAATTCTTTTTTTTTTTTCTTACCACATTTTCACTGCCCATTTACTCACGCCACCTGTTTATTCAGTGTAGATTCCAATATTTCTGGCACTATTTTAAACTCTCTCCCATTAACACTCTTTCCTGGCGAAACCTGAACCCTGGTTGCATCCAGTTTTCCTCTCACTCCACCCCTGCACACGTGCAACTGAATGCGGTGGAGAAAACACACACCGGTCTCGTTTTAAATTCATGACAAGTATGGACCATTAAAACTGCTCAAGAATCCCGTTGCATTTCCCTGTTACTTTCATTCCCCCCTCTGGGATGACAATTTTACACCTCCTCCCAGCTTGAATCTCAGATACCTTCTCTCATGTTCACTCCCAGGAAATGACTTTGCATTCTGTTTCACTGCGATGCAATCAGAGAAGGCCCACACGCCCGCCTCCACATGCCCCCACCAGCCTACATCTGTTCACATATTCGGTCCACTCTCTTATTACTGCAAATTACTACAAATGAATTGACTCTCTGCCATCACAGGGCTCCTCTGCACATGAGCCCGTACCCATCTCTTCATGCCTTCCTCTCTCCCTCGCATCTGCAGTGGTTCCTTTCTAAATACATTCAGTAATCAAATACATAGTAATGTTTGCCAAATTAGAATAATTATTTTAACACACTTTTCCTTCCAATGGTCACCTATTTCTCCACTTTATCAGGAAAAAAAAAAAAAAAACCTCTTTGAAAGAGTCATTTAAACTCCCTGTCTCCCCATCCTTTTGAATCCACTCTAATGAGACTTGTGTCATCAACTGCATAAAAACAGTTCTTCACCAAGTTTTTCTGCATTCCTAATCCCAGCAGCAAATTCTCAGGCCTCATCTTCTTGGGTTGTCAGCTCCTTCTTGAAACAATTTCTTCGCTTGGCTCCAGGTCTCCACCCTCTTGTGGTTCTGCTCTTCCCCAACCCCCAGGCGGGTCTTTTCCATCTTACTGGTTCTTTTTCATCTCACTGGCCCTAAGGCTCAGTCCTTGCTTCTCTTCTCTATTTATAACTACTCCTAGGTGATTTCTTACTGGCTCATGGCTTTAAATTAATCTATATGCTGATGAGTCTTAAGTGAATACCTTCAGCGTTGCTCTCCCCTCTGCACTCTGAGCTAATATTTCCTGCTGTCTAGAGGATATTGCTGACGTGTCAACGTGTCCAAACTGAAGCCTCTGATCCCCCTTGTAATATGTGCTTAGCTCCTCCTCCCCACACATCTAGAAAATGGAAACTCTATCCTTTAAAGTCCTCTTTCCAAAACTTTGAAGTACTTCTTGACCTTTTTCTTACAATCAACAACATATCTAATCTATCAGTAAATTATCTTGGCTCTTTATTAAAAATATATCTAGAATCAGACCACTTCTCATCATTTCTACTATAACCATCCTGCTTCAAGCCACCAACAATTGCTAGATGATTCTATCAGCCTCCCAACTTCTCTTGTCTCCCCATAAAGAATAACCCCAAAACAG